TGGGCTCAAGCTGTGCTAGGGGAGGTTTAGGTTGGATATTATAAAAAATTTCTTCATGGAAAGGGTAGTCAATCATTGGAACAGGCTGCCGAGAGAGGTGGTGGAGTCCCCATCCCTGGAAGTGTTCAAAAAATGGGTAGATGTGGCACTTCGGGACGTGGTTTAGTAGGCATGGTGGTGTTAGGTTGACAGTTGGAGTAGATGATCTTAGATCATCTTAATGATGACCAACTTTAATGATTCTATGATTCTATGTTTATCAAGAGTGTGAACTGCTTCCTGTTAAAATTCTGTGAACAGGTGAAAACACAGTAGCATTATGACCTGTGTCATGCAGTACAGAAAATGTACTGGGTCAGCACTTCAGTGGAGAATCTCTGAAGTAATGAGGATACTCTTGTGTGAGAAAGGATTTTCTGTTTTTAAAATAAACAGTTAAATCATGGAAATGTTAAAAGAGTGCTTCTGAGAACCAAATTTATTAAAACTGTTGGCAGAAGACCATAACTCTCTGTGCAGAATAGTAATACGCAGAAAAACTCATGTCACTTGTCCCATTCATTTATGAGCATCCAAACTACTGTATACTTACGGTTTTTATATGGATTGTGACTAGTGAGGCATCAGAGAATTTGAAAGGCTGAATTCATCTGTTTTTTCAGCATTTAAAAAACCAAAGTTTATCTATTATTTTGTAGCATGTAGATATATTTCTTCACTTTCAGAAACATCCTAATTTGTTGAATAGGCAGACCTGTTCTTTTTTGTACATCACAGGTAGGATTGTTTCTAGTGGAGCCAGAATTGAGTGTTTGTACTGAGGGTAATATCAGTCAGAAATGAGCAATATACATTTCCACCACAAGTACCTTTCTCTCAAAAAGAAAGATGTAATTACTTTGAAGATTTCATATTGTATAGGTTTATTTACATTTCATCATTATCTACTCTTTTATAATGGATGTGAATGTAAATCACCAACTTACACTTGATATTCTGTTAATAGTTCCACAAAAATCAATGTCTGTCTTTGATTTGTGTAATAATAAATAGCAATAATGAAAATGGTAGGTGTCAGTGTTTAGAATGAGGACATGTTAGAAGCCATTTAAAACTCATTACATCATTAATATTTGGCATTCCATACTTGTGAACACAATGATTTTTCTTACCATTTTATTGATTGTTCTCAAGCTTTATATCCAACTCTTTTATTTATGACATAATGATCTTTAGACCTTTAAGTCTAATTTTGCCAAAACAAAAGTGTCAGATCAAGAATCTTAATAGGAAATGCGAAGTTTAGTGCTGTTTGTTTGGTTTTATGAAGTTATAAGCACTGCAGTGTATCTGTGTATAATATTCTAGAAAGCTATTGCAGAAATAGAGGTGAGCATCCTATTTTAAAACACAGAGGAAGTGAATCAGCTTGAAGAAGATACTTGATTCTTTTCTTTTTTTACAGAACTATAAAAAACTCAAGTCTTTGAATATTCATCTGAGTTTCTGTAATCCTCTGCAGAAGCAGTGGTTGAAGGCAACAAGGCTGATTCAACTCTGAAAAGTACACTCTATTTAATACTTACATGACCGCAGGTTACATCCTCTAGCTGAAAGTCTGAGTAATGATTTTATACTGAGAGTGCACTGAAGGATTATTTCCTATTTAAAAGCAATGAGAAAACAGAAATTTAAAGTAGGATTGGGAAAACTATGGTGTATTAATTTGGAGGGTCTTCTGCGGTTGCTTTGGAAATAGTTCTGGAGTCCAATATGCAGGTGTTGTTGGCTTTCATCAGCCCAAATCCGCAAATTATTGTCCAGGATGAGTAGAATTCAATTGTTTCCTTTATGGAAGGTGCTCAGGTTTTGTATTCTGTAGCACATTACTTGGTAATCACTTTCTGCTTCTGCATGTGATGCTCAACCTCTGTACTCTGAATGGTTCTCAATGACTGTGCATTCTGTTAGTCATTTTAGCCACAGCTAGATGCTGACCACTCTTCATGATTACCATCAGCTGCATCTTCCACTCCACTTTGCCAACCTATAGCTGTGCTCTGCCTATGTTTGCATGCATCAGGGCCACTATAGTCCCTGCAATGCTTGGAAAATTTTTGAGTAACACCAAGGTAGGTAGGGCCCACAAACTATGTTTGCACCAGAAGAGAACTCCTGTACATACCCTCCCCTGCTGCCCAGGAAATGACCAAAGTGCTCTTTGCCTTGGTCTTTTGTCACAAGAGGACAAATTTTAGAACTCAGTTCGCATCTCTCCATGTCCTGTGCCATACCTTCCACAGGTGGTTTGACCACTGTGACTGTGCCTGAAAATGCCAAACTTCTTCCAAATTTGCAGTGTAGTTGGGTTTAGCAGAATTATATTATTATTAAAATATTATAACATGTTAACTGATTATATTTTTCACTTTTTATGACATATTCTGGTCAGTCTTCAGACACTCCAACAGATGACCATATGGTCATCCTTGCTATCTGGGCCTTCATCTCCGGAACTTCTGGGACTGGTTGCCTTTTTTCAAGATCATATTACCTTTTTAGTGGCACTAACATAATTCATTATTTCAGTGGTTATTTCAAAATCTTTATTATCTGTTTTCTTGCCTTTAAAATCTAAATAGTAACATTATTTATCAGATCTGTTATTCTGATATGCTATTTAATAGGCTCATTCTGTGAGTTCAAAGCAGAATTTATGTTTTCAGGCTTCATTCCAGAGGATTACAAAGACCTCCCTATAGAAGGCAACATTCAGCAGAAATTCTCTTTATCTGATCACGTGGAATTTCTGTTGCTTTCATTCTCCTACTGTGTGGTTGTTTGTTTTTTTTTTTCTTTCACCTCTCACTAAGGGGAGACTGAGCTCTCAACTTTTTCCATATGAAACAAATTTATCTTAAAATTCATTTTACTGAGGAACTGTTTTTGGACCTCAGTTATTATTGTATAAAACACTGTTGATTTTTAAGCAGAGATAATTTATTACAAAAGGCATTCTGTTTAAAAATTGACTGCACATTATGCCTTTTTTTTTTGGAAAGTCAAATGTTTTGTGTATTTGTCATTTTACTTCAACAGTTATAGAAAAATACTTTATAAAAACCAGATTCAGGGCTTAAGGGATTGCAAGCATGCGGCATTACTCAGTCTAAATGCTGGCCAAAGTCAATCTAAATGTTATAAGAAGTCTAATGTATCTTTTAAAAGTGAGAAGAAGATAAAAATATTTCATTGATTTTTTTTTAATTCTCTACATTCATCTTTTAAAATGTTTTTTAAAACTGATTTATTTCCCTTGACTAATTCTGATTGTTTTTATTTTCTCTCAGAGCCCAATGACATAAATGGAACCTTTCTCTTGGATTCATGGAATCTTCTCAGACCTCTAGTCCTTTAATCAAATCCTTAATAATTCAAAATGCTGGTAGTGCCTTGTTTAGGGATTACTTATTTTCATACACGATTGTCTTTGAATATGTGGAAGAAACTGTTTCAGAGAGAATATTCATAATTTTCAGATCTTCAGTTTCTGCCATATTCCTCATCTTATTATTTTGACCTGTAAAGATTCAATTACGATTTTCTAAGCAAACTATAAAACCATGTAATATGAAAGTTGTTTAGGGAATGACTCAATTTAATTCACCATATACATAGTCTTATAAACTACATCAAAATTTGCCCTCTGACATCTGTAGAGATTGTGTGAATAAATAACAAAAGCAAATAGATAGTAGAAGATGTTTATTGGATTATAATGGTGATAATTTAAATATAGATAACAGTGGTAATCAATTAGCATGTCAGCAAGAAATGCTTTTTAGCCAAACTGAAAAATAATGAAGCTAGCACATTTCAGTGTTTCTTGACTACTGTGCTCTCTAGGGGCTCACAAACAGTTTGATTTCCATGCCGTTGACAAATCATTGTTCTCATTGTCAGTGAGTATGAATAATGAACTTTGGGGACAGGCCTCCTGAAGTAAACTTTTCTCCTAAAGCATCAGTCTTATCCAATGAAATAGTAAGCTAGACCTTAAAGTAACTTGTTCTACCATTAACAATGTTGTGACACAATTAACTACGAAATAATTTAAATGTCCTTTATTACTGTCCTCTTTCTAGCTCCATCTGAAGTGTTTTTTTCATTCGATGTTGGAAATGGACCTACTGAAGTTACAGTGCAATCACCCACTTCGTTAAATGACAACCAGTGGCACTATGTGAAGGCTGAACGAAACATCAAAGAGGCATCCTTACAAGTAGATCAACTTCCTCAAAGGTCTCACAGTGCTCCACCTGATGGGCATATTCGGTTGCAACTCAACAGCCAGCTTTTTGTAGGTAGGCTCTCATTTAACAGAATCTTTTCTAGTTATCATCATGAAAATATGAAAAAAAAACCCAAACCCAAAACCAAAGAAAAAAGAAAAAAGGAAGAGAAAAAGATGTCAGCTGGGCCTTTTGAAAACAGTTTGTATGATGAGATGATAGCCTTCGTGAAAAATCCATGGAGGTGTAGCTCTATTTCGAGATTACAAATTCAGTGCCTTAGCCTATAGTTACTGCTGGACAGGTTTTCAACCAAAGTTTTCTTCTTCTGAGGTTTGTTTGAAGAGCAACTAAAGGATCTCCATTTGCACCATTTTTTGAGAGGCTATCATCTGCTGAAGGAAGATCTGTTTCTTCTGTAATTTCAAGGAAATTTTATTCTCTCTCTTCATCCACAACTTCTCAGGTTGCCCAGAAAAGTTGTGAATGTCCCATCACTGGAAGTGTGCAAGGTCAGGTTGGACAGGGCATCGTCCAACCTGATCTAATGAAAGATGTCCCTGCTCATGGCAGGGGGGTTGGACTAGAGGATCCTTAAAGTTCCCTTCCAAAACAAACCATTCTATGTTCTATGAATCTGTGATCTATTCTGCTGCCCTTTGCTAACATACTTAATAAAATAATCAGACTGTGTTTACTTAGTATTGGAAACAAGAAAAAGAGACTATTCTTTGATTTCACACAGCCAGGAAAAATGTTCTATGGTTAGTTCGACAGAATATTTCTACATTTTTACTTTAGCAAATATGAATAGATAAAACACTGGAAAAGCAGAAATGGAGTAATAAAAAATTAATTAATATTTATTTAGCTATTACATAGAGCTATGTAGAGCTATATGTTATGTACATCATAGTGCTTTTACTGTAATATTGCCATATTATGAATTTAAAAGTTCCTGTTGTATATATATAGTATACAATATGAAAGCATGCAAAGTCTGCCCTACTTTTAAACAGGTCATCATACTAAATAAGTTTCATTTGCTGTGTATTGGTGAGGAGTGTAGTTAAGGGGAATAGTGTTAGAAAATTAGAAATTAAATGTAGAAATTAAATGAGGAGGGAACCCTTGTATGCTGGGACTGGAATTCTGACCTGTACCTCAAAAGGCATCAAGGGTAGAAGATGGAGACTAGATCAAACATGTTGAAATTAGATCAGTTTGAATTTGAAAGGTCTGGCCTGTGAAATAAGACTAAGAAACAGTCTAATTCTACAGGTGTTTATGGTAATATCAAGTCGAAACAGTTTTTTAACAATTTTGACAATTAATTGATCTCTAGTTCTTCTAACCCTTCTCCCAGACAATCTCATACTGTACTAACCTGTATTGACAGTTGCATTTTCTGGCAATTTTTTATGAAGTAAATGGCCATTGAATAGAGTGATTTTTTTGGTAAAATACTATGACGAATTGTAGTAAATTTATACATTCATCTCCTGTATGGAGCTGACAATTTAAAAACTGTTTTGACTTATTTACAAGCAAGTTGTCTAGCTTGTTTTCTTCAGATAACGTTCAGGTGAATAATTGTATTAGAAGAGTGATTGTGTTCTTTTGCTTCTGGTGTTGTAGATTTCTTTCTTCTCTGAAAATTCTTGAAGTTCCCAGAAGTAAAATGAAATAACATTCACTATGGTACTGTGTACCTTGAAATCTCTTATGAGTTTCTGCAACTATTTTGAAATAATTTGGAGTAGAACTGATAAAAATGACATTTGTTTAAATTTATACAGTCAAAACAGGGTGACATGACAAATGATAGTGATTCATTTGAATAATTTGTGTCATGCATTTCCTGAATATAATTTGTGAGGGTTCATTATGGCTGCAGCTAGTTTTTTTGACTAATCTGCTTCTGCGACTGCAATACTGTCATGTCCATCAATATGGTGTCTAGTTTATTTTGTGTTTGAGTTAAACCAGTCTTTTGGATAATGCAACTTCTTATAACTCCCAACTGTTTCTTGGATATTTTCATCTCTTCAATTAAATACAATTTTCTTCAGTGGAGGGAGTAATGAGACTTACTGTTTGACTACTTCCACTGACAGTCCACTGGTACAGACTCAGGTTTGTCTGCTCAAGCCAGTGAAAGGATCTAGAGAAAAATGAAACCTACAGTGCCCTAAGAATATTAGCAGAGGCACTCTTTACTTAAATGCTGTCTCATATACCTAGTTACCTGCCATAGCCACCCATCAGTCAGTTGCTAACATACTAGGACTGTGATTTCTTCAGGCTAAACCACTCTCTTTACTTCTTGGATGTATATACTCTGGTTTTCCAAAGATACCAGAACAAGAACTAAAACCTAAAGCTACGATCAAAATACTCATTTTTAGCAGAGATAACATAAAATCTTCATATCGTTAGGTGGTTTTCTGCCATTATATCTGTAAATAACAACAGCTATGTCAAGATTTTCTATGTAACACCAAGAATTTTACAAACTTTGAAATACAGAAGGATGAAAACAGATGATTACATAGAAGCATTTAACCAAAAGTTAATTGGAAATGCATGAGAATTATAGTTGGTAATCTTACATATTGTGGAGTATTTTATGGTTTTACTTTTTAAATGAGAACAAATGACAGGAAATATCAGAGTAAGTTGTGCAATAAAGGACAAAGAGTGGTGGTATGTAGATTGCACACCTTGCTAAGCAATCAGGATGAATAAAACGCTAGCTGTCAGGAAGCATGTTAAAAATAAACAGTGAAAATAAATGAAGCAACGATTGTTAGCCTTATGATTGCCCTGTATCCTTATCACAGATGCTTGGTAGTCAGGTATATCCTACTGGTATTCCTCTGTAATGAGGGGGATAAAATTTCCTATTACTTAATAATGGACACAACTTCCAGTATGGGACAAAGACACCCAGCTGTGGGGTATCATGATCCATACCATGAGACTGACAGACACACAGACACACAGATGAGTTGATCAGTCAGTAGGATCTTGAGGGAGAAAAACTACAGCTCATCACCCTCCCATTCCCTTTCTTCATTTTCCCTTTTTTCCCTCTATTTTTTCTTTCTTGTTTTTTTCCCCCCCTTTTTCTCTCCTCTCCTCTCCTCTCCTCTCCTCTCCTCTCCTCTCCTTTCTCTCTTAAAAAAAAAAAGAAAAAAAAGAAAACCACGTAATTTCTGGATGGTACTCCTTTGTGAAATTAATAGAATCATCATTGCCTGGTATCTTACTGTGCAAAATCCTTGTTTCCCATTAAAAGTTCAAGGGTTCACTGTAATTACTTGACAAAAAAGAAATCAGATATGCTTTTAAAGCTATTTATAAATATTTTCACATGTATAAGCTTGTATCTGGGAAATTCATAATAGACTGTTCAGGGGTTGTAAAACATAAAGAGGTTTCTACACATCAATTATTTTAAATTTTTAAAAGCTCATATGAATTTATTTCAGGTGGAACAGCATCCAGGCAGAAAGGATTTTTGGGATGCATTCGTTCATTACAGTTGAATGGAATGGCCCTTGACCTTGAAGAGAGAGCAAAGATAACGCCAGGAGTTGAACCGGGCTGCCCTGGACATTGTAGCAGCTATGGTAACCTGTGTCACAATGGTGGAAAATGTAGAGAGAAATATAGTGGATTCTCTTGTGACTGCACTTTTTCTGCCTATGATGGGCCATTCTGTGAGAAAGGCAAGCATGTCTTTTAGCTTTATCAGTTATTGAAAACAGAACCATACAATCCAGAACAAGATCCTTACAGCCCTTTAAAGATACACTTAAATGCTTGCAAAATATTTATGTTTTACTTAATGTACAGAAACATTCAGCTGAATTTGTTCAGTAAGTGTAAGTTTTGTTAAACACTGCCTTCCAGACATATGTTCAACATATAGTATTTAAAGCAAGAACCACATTACCTGAGAGGATTAGCATCTTTTCTTTAATGTTCTGCAACTCCTTTGATTCTTTTACATTATACTAAAGCTAGGAACTTTATCCTTATGAATAAACTTTTGGATTTCTGTCTTTCAAGTCTTAATCTCAAAACTAAGAATAAATTTGGAAAACCAAGCAGAAGAACCTTAAACTTCTTTTTACTGTAAGAAGAGAATGAGGTCATCAGAAACAGGACTGAGCCCATGTTTTCAGCAATTTTAAAGGAGTTCTTTAGTGATGGTGTCATACTGGTAGATGATCTCAACTCGTCAAGTTTGAATTTTAAGAGTGGAAGTTTACCTAAAACTTTTGGTGTTTGCATATAATTCTGATGTGCTAAAAATGACTTGCTTCTTCCATGTATTAAATGCATTCTGCAAAGTACTCAGTAGCTTAAATGCCATAAGTCTATGTTCCTCTAAATTTGTGAGCACAATATCTGTCCAGCCACCACTGCCACCACAAGAATAAAGGACTTGTGTGAAGTCCTTCCATATCTATCACCGTGGAGTTAATGCCACTGAGTGAGGAATGATATGTTCTTCCTCCCCTGCAAAAAGCAGAAGAGACTAATGGTTACACTCCATGTTTATTATTCTGCAGGGGCAGAGTGGTGCCTGTTGCTGAAAGTGTGGGATGACCTATAGTTATAACTTTCAGTCACCTTCTGCAAAGATAATGAGCAAGATTACAGAAATTTCTAGACTTTTTTCTGAAGTGTGGAGGTTGTGTGTGAAAACAGGACAGTCTAAGACAGTTACTTTTAGCAGAAAATGGCTGTGGGATATCACAGCGACACAGAAGCCCTCTATGAGTGATTCATCCATAGGACCATAACGCAGTTTGTATTCTCCTTTTCTTTCTCCTGCCTGACCAGTCTCTTTTCCCACATATGTGTTTCAGGTGTGGCCAAGTTTAATCAGTATGTTAGGATTCAAACTGCTGCATCCATTTCTCTATAGGAGCAGTATACATACAAGACAGGATATATTGGGCTCAAAGAAATGGATAAACAGGAAAAAAGCAGAAAGCATGTTTAAAACTAGACCGAAAAAAGCACTTCTTCATGCAACAGATATTTAAGACACATGTCTAACTGGGTTTTTGCTCTAGCCCAGGTTGGATCTTATTTTTTTCTATAGTTTTAAATACTAGTTCCATTTATATTTCTTTTTCAACTTTATCACAGTAGTTAAGAATATTGTTCTATGACAAAAAGAAAAAAAAAAGAGCTTGAGTATTGTTTTGCATGATATTTAAAAACTGAATTACTTTTTATTTCAGAGATCTCTGCCTATTTTGGGACTGGCACTTCTGTGACATACAATTTCCAAGAATACTACACCTTGGCTAAAAATTCCAGTTCTCATGCCTCTTCTTTCTATGCTGACATGACATTGAACAGGGAAGCAATTACATTTGCCTTCCGAACAACACGGACACCAAGCTTACTGCTTTATGTCAGTTCCTTCTACAAGGAATACCTCTCGGTCATTCTCACCAGAAACGGTGAGTGTTCAGATACGCTGTCTGGAAATAGTAATGAACATCATAGCTGTCCACTTAAATTCATTCTGACTGTCAGACTTGAATCACAACCTAATCATTGTCCTTTTGTTGCTTTAAATGGTATGTTTATTTTTCAGGTGCACCAAACTATGCTTTCCACATGAGAAACATTCCTCCTACTGTAACTTTAACTTTTATTACTGTTTTCTTTTTATCATGTTGGCAAAAATACTTATTTCTGGAAATCCTTTAGAAATGCAATAAAACATTTCAAATTTTTTTTTTAAAGTTTTGAAATGAAACTCAAAATGTATCTTATCTGTCTGGTACTCACATGGTGTGCTAATTGCCATCCTCATGATAAATAATGAAATACACTCCTTTTTGAAAGTGCATTATCCATTTTCCAAATTAATCAGAGGTAATTACATTTAACTAATTTCATAAGCTACCTATATACCTATGAAAACACACATATACACCAGTGAAAATACACGTAACGTAACTGATGTGTTCGTATAAATTGAACATTAAATGTTAGTTGGACCTTTCTTTTTTTTTTTTTGTCTTCTACATCTAGATTTTTTTTTTAATTAAAAACCCCCACAGACTGAGTTGAATCTTTGCGTTTATCAAAGACTCTTTGCAGTCACAGTGGTTCTGTGCTTAAAGAAGGTTCTGTGCTTTCCCGGATACAGATTTGGATGTAGAACAACTGTAGTATCCTCCTCATCATGTGAGGTGGAATACATTTTACTCATGACTGGCCTCGGTCTGGCCTGGGCCTTGCTTTCCAAGGGATGAGTAGAAACTTGTAGTCTATCTACAGCTGGGATGGTATCTCTGAGAAAGAAACCATGCTGCCTCTGTGTTCTGTTGTGAAAGAGTCTCTGTGTGATTATATGCATACAGACAGTATGCTGGGAATTAACAAGAAATGGAAAGTGAGCTAGAAGTTATTAACTGCATCCTACTGAATTGTCAACTGGTCAGAGGTTTACAGATCTGGACAGTGTAAACATTATTCATTTACAGTAATTTTAAGGTACTGAGTTTTATTTGATAAGTCACATTGATATGAGCTACCAGACCAAGTCTTTCTCAGCTGAATTATAAAAGTACTTACTGAAATTTCTGCAAAAATTTTAGCTCATTATTCAGATTTGTGATAGTTTATGGCTATCTTTGCCACTACATCCTACTTTGAACATTTCTATTAATTTTCCTGTTGCCTTCTTTTATTTCTTACTCATGTCAATTTCTTGTAGTTAATTCCTTAAATAAGTCAAACATTCGTTTTGCTCTTCAAATGCACCTGTGAAGCAGGAGGCATTGTATGTGACCTACACTGCCTGTTGTATATGTAGTGTACTATACTTTTTGCTCTGCTTATCCCTGCAGGAAGTTTACAGATCAGGTACAAGCTAGACAGCCATCAAGATCCTGATGTTTTCAGCATCAATATCAAAAGCATGGCTGATGGACAACTGCAACACATGAAGATTAACAGAGAGGAGGAAATGCTTTTTGTAGAGGTTAGACCAAAAAAAAAAAAAAAAATTATCATAAAAAAGTAGAAGACCCAAAGCAAAATGAAGCAAATAGTTACAACAAGGCAATTACCCCCAAATAAACTGTCTTTTAATATCTCAAGTAAATAAAGCAAAGGTTATCAAACTCATGGTACGCAGTGAAAGTCTACATTAGACAATCTCTTTGGTGTTTTAGTTTATTTCAAAAGTTCAGTACCTCCTCATCATTTTATATGAAAAAACAATTAATTGTTTGATGGTTACATTTTCACAATTTGTGAAATATGTATGGCTGCTGTCATTTGTTTTGGGTCTTGCTTGGGTTTTTGTTTCAAATTATATGTCAAACTACAGCACAAATATATTACCATCTAGGTAATAATTTCAGCCTATTTGTCTAATTTGCTTTGGTCCGTTTACATCAAAGGAATCTAACAATTAAGGAAAAGATTTTTGTTATATTTTGTGGAAATTTGATGATAAAATAGAAATATTTGATTTTCTAATAGTAGATACTAGCATGTAAAAAAGTCTTAATTGTTTTAAATAAAACTTAAAAAACCTTGATGTTACAAATTAGTATTTCATGGCTAGAGCTGTGTTTGCTTAATAATGCATTGCTACAAGGCTTGAAGGCAAGCATTTCTAGAGGTACCCTGGGGGGCAGAGCATTTATAGTATAATATTTGATCTTTATGAACTAAATGTTGAATGCTTTTTTTAATGAAAAGAGCCTTTTCATTTTATTGAAGGTTTACCATTTTTATTCATCTCACAGATGAAAAAGAAGGAATCAGCCAAATCAATGAGATAAATAAAGGCTTATTAAGTCGGGTGCTTAAGAAGTATCACAGTTATTATCAGTGATCTGAGGAAGCTGATCATCTATTTCCTGATTAGTTTTTATGCTATAACTAATAAAGGCTTCCCTCAGCTCCTTTTATTTTTAACCTTGATCTTACCTGCTTTTTTGCAAACTTTGACTAATATCTCTTCCATTATTCTACTCTGTTCTTCACCACACCATTCTGCAGGTTAACCAGAATGAAAGAATGAAGTTTATTCTGTCTTCAGGCACAGAATTCAATGCAATCAAGTCTCTCACACTTGGCAAGATTTTAGGTAAGTGGAACATCACAGAATTTTCTAGAACATAGGTCAAAATATCATCAGGGCATATTAAAAATAGCAACCCTAATCTCATTGAAAGACATTTGTTGTCTTGGATTTAATTAGACACTGAGTCACAATCAAGGTAGAAACTTCAGTCTTGTTGAAATAAAAATATAATCATGGGTAAGTACTTCCTGAAAAATGATCAAGTGTGTTCCATTAAAAATAATTTCACACTTCTCTCTCTCATTCTGTAATCAAGCGTTATGAAACACCACTTTGTTTTTACTCTAACGAAAAAATAAATCACTGTGAAATCATACACAAAGACCATAGAATACTATTAATCATGTACTGTATTTGAAAACTTTCTGTGATTAGATTTTGATATAAAGAGTTAGGGATAAGGTAATGTAAGCAAAAATTTTGTTGAAGTTACTTTTTAAAAACAAGGTAAGCTATGACAAATTATTTTGTCTAGCGATTAGTCATCAAAAGCTGTCTTTTTCTCTGTAATAATGATCAAAAAAGAATTTACCTATCTACAATTATTATTTTGTCAATTTTGTTAAAATAAAATATCCTGAACTAAAATTCTCAAGATCTTATTATTTTTATATTTATCATATTGGGAAAACTCAACAGTAGAAGAAGATGTGGTGCTGGTGAAAAGTTAAAGGATTTTTCTCTTTCCTCTAAAGTTATTTAAAGTCTGTGTTGCTATATTCCCACATCAAGTAAAAGTCCATTTGTGCATTCTTCCTCTAATAGCACTCTTTGTCGCAACAATATGAAAGCAGAGCTGGTATAGTTTGTGATATATAGTAACTAAGGTTACACTGACCTTTTCACCATTTTGTAGTTAGACAATATTCTCACCCTTCCACAAGTGGTCCTGGGCTAAGTGTAGAATAAATAGGTTTACCAAAGTATGGATCACTGGAAAAGATTATATATAAGTTTTTAGATCTTAAAGTTTATCATTTCAGGTGGCACAGAGATTAACACCATGACCAAAAGCAATTCTGTTTATTTTTAACAAAAATAATTTTTAATGGAAATTATGAACCATGTTCCAAAACAAGATCTGGGAAATGAACTGCCTCCCTCTCTAACTCTTTGGTGCTTGAACATTTAGCCAGTAAACTGCCTGCAGAGGAGTGATGGTTTCCCATTCTTTAAAAATCTCTTTAAGTAAGCTAAAGTGTTAACAAAGGGTTTTTGTAGAAATACATTCAGAAGACTGTGATATGTGACATAGAAAAAATCGAGTTTTCACCTCAATTTAGTATAGACGATATATTACTTTATCTTGTTCCCCCAGGCTAGGAGCTATTTACATGTTTTATATAATACCTACCCTAAACCATAAGATCAAAGAAGTGTTTTCTTCACATTCAGTTGTATGTGGTTTAGAGGAATTTTATTACTATGTATGTGAGGTGCCCTTCCAGGATCCATATATCTACTACTTTTTGTATAGTGCCTTTGGGAATAACACAACAGCTTTGGTAAATCAATGTTTCTGCCATTGTAACAGACCCAGAAATACTGTCCTGGCTATGAAGTTAGAAAACACTATTATGTTTTCCCAAAGAATCTCCTACTAACAAGAAAAGCATTATATGCCACTGGGTGGGAGGCAGTAAGTCTCCACCAGTTTTTGTCTGACCCCTGTCTACATTCAAATAATGTAAATCCCAAAACAAAATGGGTATGAAATTAGTTTTCTACTCTATTCTGAGTAAAAATTAGAGCTTAACTCTTTCTGTCACACATATGTGTGCATACGCACACATACGCACAAAAATCAGTTCCAAATATATCCTCTCCTACATGTAATCTTGGCTAGAAAAAAGTACTTCATGAAGTCTTCAGTTCAATTTCAAAACAGACAAGCATAATTAAGATGATTTTTGACCTATCATTGTTTAGGAAAGTAGATATGCAAGGTGATTTATTGATTAATTGAGAGAGATTTGAATGTGATATTTCAAGTAATTAATTTAATAGGCTGATGTATAAGATCATAGAATCACAGAATGGTTTGTGTTGGAAGGGACCTTAAGAGACGATGTAGTTCCAACCCCCATGCTATGGGCAGGGACATCTTTCACTAGATCAGATTGTTCCAAGCCTCGTCCAGCCTGATCTTGAACATTTCTAATCATGGGGCATCCATAACTTCTCAGGGCAACCTGTTCCAGTGTCTCACCACTCATCATTAAAAAAAAAAAAAAAAAAATTTCCTTATATCTGATCTAAATATACTCTCCTTCAGTTTAAAACTGTTACCCCTTGTCCTGTCATACAGACCCATTTCTCTTACAAGCTGCCTTTTTATATTGAAAGGTTGCAATATGGTCTCCCCAGAGCCTTTTGTTCTCCAGGCAGAATAACCTCAACTCCCTCAGCCTGGAGAAGCCTTCCAGCCCTCTGACCATGTTTGTGGCCCTCCTCTAGACCTGCTCTAACAGGTTCAGGTCTGTCTTTTGCTGGGAACCCCCAGAGCTGGATGCAGTACTCCAGGTGGGGTCTCATGAGAGTGGAGTAGAGGGGGAGAATCACCTCCCTCAATGTGCTAGCCACGCTTCTTTTTCTGCAGCGCAGGATACGATTGGCTTTCTGGGCTGCAAGCACACATTGCCAGCTCATATACAATTTTTCACCCACCACCATCCCCAAGTCCTTCCCTGCAGGACTGCTCTCAATCCATTCAACCCCCAGCCTGTATTGATATAGGGGATTGCCCTCATCCAGGTGCAGGACTTTGCACTTGGCCTTGTTGAACTTCATGACATTCACATCGGCCTGCTCATCAAGCCTGCAAAGGTCCCTCTGGATGACATCCCTTCCCTCTAGTGAATCAACCACCTCTCAGCCTAGTGTCATCCACAAACTTGCTGAGGGTGCACTCAACCCTACTGTCTTTGTCATTAACAGAGATATTGAACAGTACTGGTCCCAATGTGGACCCTTGAGGGACACCACTTGTTTACTTATTTCAATTTAGACATTGATGAATTTCATGCAACTATTTGTATAAGGCCATCCAGCTAATTCTTTATTCATCAAATAGATGGTTGTGGTTTTCAAGAGTCTCAGTGTAGCTGATCTGTTTTCTTACTGGAAGAGTAACTAAGGTCCTCTAACACAAACAGAAATGTATTTTAATTTTGAAATGTATTTTACTTTTGAAATGTATTTTACTTTTGAAATGTAAATTTTCTGTATAGAACTCACAGTCCAGAAAAGAACTGATATGTAGATATGCACAGAGAATGGAAAAGAGAATGATTGTTTAAACATAACTTTAAAGCAATATTAGCTGTAATATGAACTACTAGAAGAAAATTATTTAAAATATTTCAAAACCCCACAAATCGATGATAATACTGAATCAGGAATTTATAACTTTTTGAAGTTTAGTAGTCTATTGTAGTCACACTCACATAAGGGTAATACTGTAATGACCAGTACAGAACTAAAGGTTTTGTTATCTTCATTATGAAATTCCATATCAAAGTTTGCACCAATTTACTTAAAAATGTATTTGATGCAATGTAATAAAATGCACATTTTTAGGCAAATAACCTCTTTTATCAGGACCAATGTTGTCTCTTCCAAAGAAACCACATTGTTATGAAAGTTCAGAGGTGGGAATTTCTTCAGTTATACAGCGGCTTTGCATCATTACAGTACTGTGAATCATGGAGTTACAATGATTTGTGGTGGCGCTCAGCCCAATTTGTTTCAGTTTACAGAATCTATCCTGAAGAAAACATGTGTTATACTTCTCTCCCTTTCAAAGGAGAGATGGTAATGAAGACCTGCTGTTTCTTTTATAAATGTGACTGCTTTGGGTCATTATTCCTTTGAAGTCATGGCTAGAAATGGAAGGAGACATTGTGAAGGCAGTAGAAAAAAGTAATGAGTGTCTTCTGCAATTAAGAGTTCTAAACGGAAGAAGGAGTAACAAAATATGAAATCATGTATTTATTGTACTTTGCAATGTTGTTCAGGAAAAACCCACAAATTTTAAAGTAGACCAGAAAGCTATGGATTTACTAAGAATTATGTTCAGTTGGAGAAGTACTTGTCTGAGCATTTCTGAAGTTGTGCATAGCTCAGTTTTTTGTTGAAAGCAAATCTGAGAGTTAGCTGCTGAACTAGTTTTGAATTCCCAGGGGGAAAAAAAAAAAAAAAAATCACCGTTCTCCCTCACTTCCCAGAACCTAAACCTTCTAATTTAAAGAATTCTGAATTTATGTTATGCAACATTGTGACAAAATAGTCAGGGAGCTATGTGGTATTGGGACTCAGCAAAATATATGAAGGTTAAGTTGTGAAGGAAAAGAGAAGCAGCACGCTAAGCCACAGAGTTCACAGGATACAAGCCAAAGTGCTCCTTTGTTTTTGTTTTCCTTGTAAGATACTGTCTCTCAAAGCACCCCACACTGTAAGAAGGCTGTAGATAACTCTCTTTTTACAGCAGCCCAGTGAGGAAGTAATTTACTTCCACTGAGTAAAGCCACATTTGCCCAGGACAAAATTTCCTAGCCTTGCTCAAGGTGAGGGTGGGGAGCTGTGGATGACATTTTTCTTTAGTGAGAGCTGTTAACCTCTGGAGCACAGGCCTTATGAGGAGCAGCTGTGGGAACTGACATTGTTTAGTCTGGAGAAGAGGAGGCTGAGGGGAGACCTTATTGCTCTCCACAACTCCCTGAAAGGAGGTTGTAGTGAGGTGGGTGTTGGTCTCTTCTCCCAAGTAGTTAGTGATAGGACGAGAGGAAATGGGCTCAAGCTGTGCCAAGGGAGGTTTAGGTTGGAAATTAGGAAAAATTTCTTCATGGAAAGGGTAGTCAATCATTGGAACATGCTGCCCAGAGAGGTGGTGGAGTCACCATTCCTGGAAGTGTTCAATAAACGGGTAGATGTGTCACTTTGGGACATGGTTTAGTGTAGTCTACCCTTGATTGGTTTAGTGTGGACTTTGTAGTGTAGGTTAATGTTTGGACTGGATGATCTTAAAGGTCTTTTCCAACCTAAACGATTCTATAATTCTATGACCACTTCCCTGAGGAGCCTGTCCCAGTGACAGCCCACACTCTCAGTGAAGGACCTTTCCCTAATGTCCAGTCTGAACTTCCCCTGATGCAACTTCATTCCATTTCCTCATGTCCTATCACTGTCTCTGCCGTCAAGGGAGTCAATAGTTCCTCCTAATTTACTATCATCAGCAAACTTACTTAATATACATCTGACTTCTGTATCCAGATTATTTATTAAAACTTTAAAGAGCACTAGCCCTAAAACTGCGCCTTTGGAAACCACACTGGTGACTGGCCACCAGCCTGATGCAACCCCATTTACTATAACACTTTGAGCCCAACCTGCCAGCCAATAGTTCACCCAATGTATTATGGACTTGTCTAATTTTAAGACAGGACTAGATTGTACAGGAACATGAAAAATTTTGAAATCTTTACCATTATAAAAGCAGAAAGGTAAAGCTAGTCTTGTGATTGCATAGTTCTTATCTTAAAATGTTCTGCTAGGAACCGGATATCTGCTGGCTTTCAGTATTACTTCACAGAGGAAAGATGGTTGAAATAGAATTCAAGAGAGATGGTTATTGAGTCTGTGTTTTGCTTTTGGGCTTTGTTCTGAAAAAGGCAATGTAGGTGGAGTAATTTTGTCTTTGCTGAAAAAATTTGAGTACACTTAGCAAATGAATTGCTATAAAGATACTTAAGGGTGCATAGCTGCTGTGTACGATAAAATACAGTCTCCAATAAACAACTTGTGTGTGTCTGTCTGTCTGTCATTTTTAGTCAGTTAAATTCAACTTAGGCACTAAAATAGAGGAGGGATTGTCTTCCTTAAACCTTATTACTTTTACCAGCAAGATTTTCTGATCTAGTAAAAAGTTTTACTTTATCCCAGCAGGATTTTCTAATTAATGAGTCTAGTGAACTGTAAGGATTTTAAATACCTAATTTATTTTCATTATACATCATTATACATATTTGATGTTTACAAAATGGTTTGTAGGAAAGTAGAAAATAATAGAAAACTCTTCAGTCTTGAGGTTTTTGATCCTACTTATAGCTAGGGATATATACTTTAATCACAAGGGGTTTTGTACTTTTTTTTCTTACCACCTCAGGTTAGTCTTTTTCTTAAGATATCCAGATCTAGCAGATCCTTCAGTGCAATGAGGCAATCATCAGAAGCAGCGTATGCTACAGAGAGAAAGGATGCAGCTAAACATCCCACATTTTATGTAATCCATCAGTGTCCCTGAGCAGACTCTTGGCTGACGTCCATCTATCTAATAATACATCATCATTGCAATAAGCAGAGAGTAGTTGAGGAAAATGATGCTGTGTTATTTTGCAATATTCTACCAAAACATATGAGCCCAATTTTCACTATTAACCTAATTGTATTGAGGAGTGCATTGTACATTGGCATTTAAAATTGTTATGGTAGCTATTGTAAAAATTGCAAGTTCATTCATGGGTTCTAGGATAAGCTGGAAGTAGAAATGAATGAGATGAAATTCCCATTTTATTTGCACAAAACTTGAAAACTTATTTCCGTTAAGAGTCTTCTTTGGATAATTAGTACTTCCAGAGTTTTTGCTTAAATTAGAAGTGTCAGAGTAAATAAACTATTTTCCATTTCTGAAGTAGTGCATTAGTGAGAATTAGCTGGTGAATAGAGAGTTCTGACAGAATACATGCATTCAGAAAGGCAGCTCTGGAGAATAAGGGAGGGGGGGGGGAAGGGGAGTCCTTCCCCCCCCAGTGGGAAAGAGAATGGTATCATAAAACGTACAGTAAATTGGAACAACATTCATTTTTTAGAAATTCACAAAAAATATCATGATGGATTTCCAGGATCTAAGGTCTTCAGAGAGTTTTTATTTTGACAGACTTGATGGTGAGGGGATGGAGTAGATATATGAATCTGTGGAAAGAATACGATCCAATAAAGTACATATTTATGAAAAGAAATCTAATAAAATATGTATTTTTCATGAAGGCAAGCTTCATCCTTATCTTTTTGCAGAGTGAAAAAGTGTTGCATTTTAATTTAAATATTTTAGGTACATTTGAATCTTTTTGCTTTGGAACTTGTTATAGTAAGTTAAAAGCATTTTCCTCAGCAGACTAGCAGCTGTCATCTGTTAAAAAACAAAGGGTTGAATGTATCTGTCTGTCTTTTCATTAAAGACAGACAAGAAAAGGATTCAGTGAATCTACATATGTTGCTGTAATTCAAATATACTCAGAGGAACACAGGTTAATTATTCATTTATTCTTCTGTCGCTTTATTTTGTACATTTGCACTACGATTAATTGTGTTCTGTTGCTTTTGATTAACAGAAAGCAGCGACGTAGATGAGGAGACTATGAAGGCAAACTCTCAGGGGTTTATTGGATGTTTCTCTTCAGTGCAGTTCAACCACATTGCTCCTTTGAAGGCTGCACTGCACCACAGCAGCTCAGCCCCCGTCATTGTGAAGGGACGCTTCACTGAATCCAACTGTGGTACTTTAACTGGAGCTGACTCAACATCAAGTGAAACAACCCATTCATTTGCAGGTAGCATATGGTTATCACTTGTTCTGATCTCTGTAGCAAAATCTACATAGAGTGTTCATGACCTGAATCACAACTGGTTGGTTTGGGTTTTTTTTCCCCCCATGTGGGTTAATGTCTCAGGAGTAGTTTGAAAAATAATTCTCTTTTATATATACCTACTTCCTTTTCTCTAGCCTTTCTTTTTTCCTCTGAATGTTTACATTTTTCTCTTTATCTCTGCAAAGTATCATCTACACTACTGTTGTTCTTTACATGCTTACGGACTCACACTACTGCCACTGTACCATACAGTACATGACCTGCAACCATGTGAGAATTTCTTGAAAACCTTTCTTCTATTTGTCTGTCTCTTTCTTTTTTTTCTGCTGCAGATCACTCTGGACCAATAGATGAGGGAGAGCCCTTAGCTAATGCAATCAGAAGTGACTCTGCAATTATTGGAGGTAATAGAGTCTATAACAACTCCACGGGAACCTTTTTTTCCTAATTACTGTGAGTCTTTCAATGCTGAAGTGAAGTCAGTTTAGTTCTGTGTGCATAAAGAAACTAGTAAAAAGGCTTCATTTTATTACAAGTGGTAGACAGACAAAAATCAAGTATTGTTTTAAAATTCAATCCATAGGTCTCATATTTTCTTATTACATACATTTAATGCCATCAGTGTTTTATACATTGGAACATTCTGCTGAAACACAAGATACTAAGAACAGGATTCCAATGTGCCTAATGCTATTGTCTGCAACTTTAAAAAACACTTGGATATGTTGTGACAAATGGCAGATGTTTAAGAAAGAACAATCTTTGCTCCTTGACTATGCCAAAAAATTACATTTTGCTACGCAGTCAAGTTCAAAATTTTCTTTAATAGATCTAAGCAACACAGATTTTTCTTGAGAAAATGGAGTCTAACACTACTTGAATTAATCCTTTGACAGACTGAGGTAAGTGTAATTCTGGTTCCACATTGGGAAAGCAATATACTCTTGGACAAACTATCACTTGCATTGATTAACAGCTTAAAAATAAAATACATGTTAGAATAATAATAAAAAATAATTACTGTTGGTTTGAAATACCAGTTCTCCTCCATTTTCATACTATTTCTTTTGGCTACTTTTATCAACTGAAATAGAACTACAAATGATCATCCACAAACTTTTTTTAAAACACTTGTCTTTATCAGAGGAATAGAGGGAGAACCATGTACAACTCAGTTGCTCCTGAAGTGAACATGTTGACACTCCCTTTACTTTTTATGCCTATCAGAACAAATATGCTATAAAGCTTAGGACAGACAACTTGTGCTTAAAGTACAGGACTGATAATAAGGATATGCAGATTCCATTACTGTGTTGTTCTGACTGACCATCCTTAAGCCAAGATACATCTCTATTGTAGCAGGGAAGCCTACCAGTTCTGTCTGTTTAGCAGGAATAAAGAATACTCAAGTGAGCCTTAATAAGGGGAGTTTGGGATTGGGGACCCTTAGGAGAATTTCAATTCCTGTCACCATTATTGGAGCAAATGTATGGCTCTGTCAGTTCATTTTTTTTTCTTTCAAGGAATAGTATTGTGTCTTGTGCCAATCCTCCACTGTGAGAGTTTCTGGTGGTATTTATTCTCTTGGGAGGACTGAGGGGAGGAAACTTGTTTTCACTCATGAAGGTGGTATTTTCACAGTATAATTCACTGTTTCAATTTCCATTAGTTACTTCAACAGAAAGAGGGCAGGGGGAGGGAAAGGTCATTCCCTCCATCTTTTAAATTCTGAATAGGTTTCCTTTCTAAGGGTTTTAAAAGCCTCAGCAGACAAATGACATAGTGGGATTTAGCAGAATAAAGCTGCCAAGGCTTCTCACTGAGGATAAAAGCATTTGGGTCTATGGAAGGTGGAGTTAACCTGCAGTCACCTGTGTGTCTGCCTTTTAAATAGTGCTACCTGCTACTGTCAGTGCCTGTTAACAGCACACTGCATGGTCAGTGACCTTTAACATGGTAGTGCTAAAGATACTAAAATAAGAGGTCATAAAACCTAGAAGCTTCCTTGTCTGTACAGTGATACTTATGTCTGTATATTTTTTTACACATAAACTTTGAGAATTTTACCACTAAATTCAGTGAGGTCAGAATTTTAAAATATGGTTTCTGAATTCTACATGTCTAAATTTGTCAAAAATTACTTTGCTCTTTCAAAAGATTATTGTTTTACATAAATATCTGTAAGTAAAGATCATTTTATGTACTAGGTAATTTAGTGTTGGGGATTTTTAAGTGTACTAACAATAAAGTCATTTTTGAACTTCAAGCTACGATAGTTACAGTCTTCAGATAATAACCTCACAATTTTATTGTTATGAAATACATTTGGGAATATGCACTCACAATTTTTCTAATGCTTAACTATGATTGTTTAAAAGTCAAAATAAAGCAAGCTGTGCAACAGTCAGTAAAAGTCTAATGTAAGTACCCTTAAATAAGTATCTGAGAATTTTACCAATTCAGCTACCTCAGACAAGGCAATTTTATAGATAAGCCTTTACAGGCCACAGGTACTGTTACTGTGAAACAAAAGAATGACTGTTCTATTTAGTCTAAAAAACCCAAGATTTACTCAGATTATAGAATCTACTCCAGAGAAGAAGATTGCACACAAAAAAGTTTATATTCCTACCACAAAGGATGGTTGCTTATATTAGAGAATGAAAAAAAATGACAAGTGCTGAATTTTGGATGGTCTGTTTTTATTTACAGTGCTAAGGGACTATGTATTTTTATTTTTCTTACAGTAGTGGCCAAGTTATGCAGCAGATTGTTCCTTCATCTAGTACAGCTGCATTACAACGGTTTCCTAGACTTTTTAGTGCTTTTTTTCGTCCCTACAGCCTAGTCTTGCTTCCTGCTGCTTTGACAAGCACTTTCTCCTTCCCTTCTGTTTCATTTCTCCTCAAATTCCTCTCCTGCCCAACCTCTGACTCATGAACATGAGGGCCTGAGACCATCATGAGAGGATAAATGAGGAAGAGAAATGGGCTGGAAGTCTGTAAGGTCATGCTTATTTCTGTGAGAAGTATCTCTTTCCTTACTGTTCCTAATCTGCTGTGCTAGGAGCAGCATGCCCTGGTAACAGTTCAATAAATCTTAAATAGTCATCTTTAAAACTAAGTGCCCATTCCATTTAGTCTCTTATGTGTTAGGTATGTGGCACATATGGTACCTGATGAGTCACCTATATAAAGCTTACTCTCCTGCCCCTTTGCTTTCTAACTGATCAGCTACAAGACCGTAATGCAGGTGGCTGTACTGATGCTGATTTTACCTTACCAGATGGGGCTGTTAAAGCTGTTGGGAAAGGAAGCTTGCTCACTACCATCTGTGTAGGCAGGGACCTTGTTTACTTATGAACCCAAGGTCATGTAGCTATGCAAAGCAAAAACACACTTAGGGTATCAGAATAAGTGTCATAAACCTGAAGGGAAGAGAAAGGAGTCAAATCTATGTTATTTCACCCTGAACATGAAGTGAGCCTTGATTTTAGTATTTTAGTATTTTAACCAGTATCTATTCATTACAATAATGCAGCTACAGAAATGTGAGCCCTAGTTAATGTAGATTATGAAAACCAATTCATCCCATTATGCTGTACCAAAGGCAGTCAAATGAAGTTGGGATTTTCTTCCATGAGGCACAATAAACATTAGAATTTCTATCCCATTTTCCCTGACAATAAATGGCTATAAAAACTGGCCAATTTCCACTGGAGTCCCTATGATGAACTGTTTTACTTTTTCTTTTAAAAATTCTCATTTTTCAGTCAGAACCAGTGATCTGTGGTGTAAACTAATTTGTGTGGAGTACAGGATATGAATGGGACTAATTCTGTACAGCAACTTTACTGCAAAGGGTCTGAGGCTTGGACTTTGTAGTGTAGACAGGCAGAGCTGATAGAGGGCCTGGTTCACAATTCCACATTGGTATCTTTGTCCTCAACCTGTTCTGCTCTGCCTCTGCTCTCCAGATTCCTTCTCCAGACCTGAGGGGTGAGCTGATTGGCAGGAGAAAGTTGATGATGGGACATGTGTTCCCTTCCCTCCTGATGGCATGTGGCATAAGAAAGGGTCCTGAGCAATGTGAGTGACTGAGGAAAGGAAGAGTACTTTGTCCAGCACTCATAGGAGTTGGGGAAAAGGAGAAAGTCATAGTAGTGCCCTTTGTGCCACCCCATTGTCTGGCAGGAAAGTCCCTGAAGAATAGCTCCTCAAATCTGCAGTGCCTTGAGTTCCCAGCCTGGCAGAGAGCTAGGGGCTAAAGGTGAAGGAGGAAAAGACACACTCTTATCTACAGTACCCTAAGGCTCCTACAGGTCTTCCATTCAAAAGTTTCAAAAGTTATAGTATTCTGTGGAATTTGGTTGCGCTATTAGTAGTGTGCAAAATTTCAGAACAATCACCATGAAGATTATACTACAATGCTGTTTCTGGTTTGAAAACAGCTACAGCTTCTTATTTCTTGGTCTTCCCTGCAATCCCCTCCATTATGTGATGGAGTCATTTGTTCTTTGTCTTATTCTCTGGACCATGAGTTATTATTTAGCTATCCTTTCTCTTGACTTTTTTCTCTTTTCTCCTAGGTGTGATAGCAGTCGTGATATTCATCCTACTTTGCATCACTGCCATAGCCATACACATTTATAAAAAAAAAGGCATATACTCAAAAAATGAGGCAAAGGTATCTGAAAATGAAGATGGTGCTCAATCTGCACTGAAAAGTGAGCTCAGCATGCAAAACACAGCCAATGAAAATCAAAAGGAATACTTCTTCTGATTGGCATTCGTGATTTAATTTAATATAATAATGTGACAGTCTGACTTTCTTGCTAAGCCAGGGGCTCTCAATGGACAGAAAAAGCTCTTGCACTCTACAGTAAATGCAACAGATTTGAGACTTATTATACTGCATATGTTCAGTCTCAGTGATTGCTATAGGGGGCCTCTTTAAATTACATGTATTCCTTAGCTATTATACCGTAAATGCATTTTATGTAACAGTGAATTAGATATTGTAACCAATTTCATTGTTGGTAGTTTCCGACTGTTCTGATGTGACCTTCTACAACTGAAGTTTAACGTACATACCGAATATGATTTTTGAATGGGAAAATTGTTATGAAGTTATTCCTATTCTTTTCTTTAAAATTTGATTCTGGAATTTTGTTCAAGATGAAAGGTGGATTCTAATACTTTGTGTTACTAAAGAAGTTCTGCTGAGTTGCATTATAGTGATCCCTCTTACTTCCTCAAACTGAAAATGCCTTTTGAACTGCTGTTGTCTGGTGTCAGCATCTGCTTGTGAGGCATGGACTTTGGTGTCGAAAACAAACTGTACTTCTTTCCCCTGGGATGTGACCAATGTCATCACTATCCCTTCTGTTTGTCAAGCCTAGCAGGACTTAAAACTGAAGGGTGTAAAATGTGTTGAAGTGCTGTAAAATCTATTTTGCAATAGGTTTTCACTTATGGTCAAGTCATGGAACCAAGAGACTCATGCACATTCTAGGCATTTTAAATAAAACTGGGATCACAAAAAGCAAGACATTTGCTTGGAAAGATCAAGTAATATATTAACAATAGTTAAATTATCATGAGTGAAAACACCAAAAGATGATCAAGATTATTGTCCCTGGAAATTAGTAATACTTCTGTCAAGAAGTAATGCTCTGTGTACTCTCAGGGACATAGTCTCTTAAAATGTTTTATCTATGATCTGCTCCAGACCTCAAGATTAAGTTGTTCTAAATTATATAAATGATTTTTTATTATTATGACAATACAAGCAGGGCATTTAGAGTCTAGTACAGCGGCTGCCACTTGAATACTTTTGTTCTTCACCGTTAATAGCACCTACCATACGCCTGCAAGATAAGGTCTGATTATACCACTCAAAATTAAACAGGTGCTTACTATCCTGACAGAGTAAATGAGAGCTGTCTATGATGTTGTATAAACAAATTATCAAATATGAAGGGTAGGTTTAAGTTGTCTAAACAGAGGATTGTAAGGTTGCTTTAGACACCATAGGGTATCTGAAACACCCATGTGGCCCAGTGGGAATGTCAGAAATTCTACAGAAGGTATGTGTCTTTTGGAAGAGACATCTGGGAATCAGGTAGAATACCCCAAGGCATTGAAAATGGCAGTAGATACCAATAGTTAAGTAACTGACCGCCACGCAAAAGATTTTTTGGTTTTCCCCAGACAGAGACTGTGTGCCTAAAGCTTGGATCTCAGAAAAGAATCAGGAATTCTGTGCCCTTGTAGGCTTGAGTTTAAAATTTAAACAGCTCTCAGAATTGATCTATATCTGCTCCCATTGAAAGCAATGATAACAGTCATTGCTTTTCTCTTCTTTCAATGGGGAAAATCAAAGCTAGACCCTGGACTGTGAAGTTTAGAAAATACTTATTATAGTTGCCCAAGAACATTATAAAGACATGGAAACCTGACATGGTATGCCAAAAACCTTTTATATATAAATTTCTTTATATAAATGGTAGTTGTAAATATAAATGTCCAGCAGATACTCTCTTTTAAAGCTTATTTTCTTCCATCAATTTTTATTTGCTATTTCAGAATTCTACAGTTCCTTTTCTGCTTCCTCCTGTACATGTTTACTTCATTTTTAGGAACAAATTATTTCCTTTTTTTTTGGTACCTGGACGCTCTGCAATCAGAAACCGTTCAGATTCAGATGCACTCCTTTCTTACTCTTTCCATTTTTGCCATTCCGCATGCATCTCTGGTAGATTAATCGGGCTGAGGACCCAGGATCAAGAACTGGGTATCCATGTCATGTATATGTTAGTGTATTCACTGATACATTTTGGTCCTTGGCAATAGGTCATCTTTAGAAAGGACAGAACATGGTGAGGAAATGGTACTCAACTGTTCCAGATAAGTGATATTGATAAGAATACCCTGTTTTGTGGGTGGGGAGTGGAGGAGATGGAAGCCTCACATGGGTCATGAGAAGAAGACCTCGAATTGTTACATTTGCTACTTTGGATTCTATCAGTTTAGCCAGTTACTTTAAACTGAAAATTGTGACTCCTCCGTTTCAAGGGTCTGACCTAAATTGCATTGAATTCAAGAGGAGTCCTTCCTTGGACTTCTCTGTAACTCAAACCCTCTGCGTCTCAAGAGGCTTTCCCTTCCTGTGATAAATATGTCAGTGTCCATGTTTTTGTGTCTCTCATATCAACAAACCTATCAGCAGAGATGAGTCCCAGTCAACTCCATTTTTATCAATGTGGGACACAGTAACCATGTGGGAAAAAACCATCATACAATGACAGTGTTGATTATAATATATTAGATCACCAAAATGGACATTTTGGTTGAATGATAAAAGACAGACAATTCATATGAGAGTTACTCATATACTCACCTAATAAAACCTAAAGGGTACCCACGCCAGGACAAGTTGGCAGCGTGCAGATCTAACTTTTCAATCACTTTCTTTTACTTCTATCTCCTTGTTAATTTTTGTTGTGGGGAGATGGAGAGCAAGGTCTCTTGCCTTACTTTGTTTTCTTCCAAATGAATAATTATTTTCTTTCCCTATTCCTTAGAATTTTAAAAGCAACAGGAAGGGAAAAGCTAAGTAAAACCCCTATTTCACAGATTAATTAAAAAAGAAGGGAGAGGGTATAAACGCCTGTGTGAATGGCACATTATTTCATTCAAAGACCTTTTTAAGGCATTTTATTATGTGAAGGATTCTAAGGGGAAAAACAGAAATGGATTTTGTTGAATGCACATCTATCTGCAGATTTGTAGCATAAAATAATTACATCTATCTGAAGATGCAAATGCCCATTTTTGTCTGTAGCAAGAGTGATCACATATTCATCACCTGATTCTAAAATATACAGGTTTATCGTCAATGAAGCAGCATTTTCCACTACTTGCTGCATTTCTATGAGTACAAAAAAATGGTGGCACCAAAGTGTGCTGAGACATCATACAACATTGTGCTGTCCCTTTTTTGATTCTCTGTGACCTTTCACGTCTCTGTTAATAAACACTTTTTAAAATAAAGTGAGGAAAATATTTTTTAAAAGATTTGTATTAAAAAGTTTAAACCTGACAACAATATACTGATTTTTTTTAAACAGTAAAAATATGTAGAAGTGCACATAATATATTGGTGAGTGTCGTTATTTATAGATATTTCTGAGTGCAAATGTACCAAATTTAATACGCATTGACATATTTTACATGGCAAACATTTTTTTTCTTAAGTACATTAGAAAAAAAACAGCAGCACATATGCTGGTACATTTCTAAAACTTCATGTGGGTGCTAGCTACAAAGGGCTTATAATTATTTATGTACTCAACATTTAGTGCATAAATATGATTTAGTTAGGTTTTGGCAAAACATTTTCCAATACATCCATTATTGTGTAGATGAAGAATATGTAATAAGCTAAGTGCACAACTCAACATTAAATGTACTAACAGTGAAAATAAATTTACAGCACCATTATTCATGGCAATGATGTACAAGGAAAACAGTGTGTAAATAACAAAACAGACAGAATTCCTGAGAGGAATCAGCTCTGTAGATTAGAGTAGACAGATTTAGATTTAGAAGCCAGGAAGCCTGCAGCACCAGTGTGAGATAAAATCAGAAGATGCAGGTCAGTATTGATAGGAAAATATTCTTTTGTAATACTTTGAGAAGTAATTGTAACAGTTTACACTCAAGGCAGAGTTGTAGCTGTAGAAGCCATGTGATGTCACAGGGGAAGAATGTTCTTTGTAACAGAAAAATATTTGCTAAGTCAGAAAACTTAATGCTAAAAAAGTATGTTCTGTGGTCTCTGGGGTGCAATGCACATTCTATGGAGTGAGCATGCAGAAATGCCACATAATTTTATCAAATCGCGCTCCTAACTCTGCAGCCAAAAGTATAATGAATCCATATGAGACTGTGCATTGTCAAGAAGGAATAAAAATGAAAAATCCTACAGAAATTAGAGCTGAATAAAAAGGTACATGTATGAAGGTACTGAAGTAATTTCAGTGGTTTTTTAAAGTACACATGAGAACATGTTTTAAAAAAAAAGGAAAAGAAAGAAACTTCCCTTTAAATTTACTCTTTTCAGAACCTTATTTGGGCTTTTTGGTGGTGGTGGGAAGGAAGTGTTTAATGGGTTTGTGTACAGAAAGTGGTAAAGCTGCTAAAATGAGAAACAGAAACAAAAAACCCAAAGGTGCTTGTAGACTGTGCTTGGCTGAGAAGCCATGCTCATCCTCATTCTCGAAGGGCTGTCTGAAAAGTAATTTTTGACAAGAACTGGTACTGTTCTTCAGATACATTGTCCAGACCTTAATCTTACCATCGTTAAGAAAAGAATCAAACATCACAACTACATTTCAGGGAGATACATCCCTTTCCTTCAAACACTGACATAAAATTTCATTTAATTTCATATGAATTTCTAACTTCCATCTATGATGAACTTCTGAAGTTGCTAACATTTCATTTAAATAACACTGAATAAATCATGCTTAAAGTCCTTATTAAATAATGTGGTAAATCTACAGTAAAAATCTCTATAAGCATGTGAGCAAATGTGTGCACACACACACACACACACATATGCATGTAAATGATCTGTGTGGTCAGAGGTAAGATTCTTTAGACTTTACCATTTTTTTGTAGTATGTCAATACAAAATAGTCCAGAGTTCAGAAAAACCACTCTCCCTAATGTTGGGAAAATATCCAACCCATTTCACAAAATATTTAAGATTTCACA